AAATCTAATTTTATTTTGTAAAAAAATTTTGCTATTTACCGAAATTTTATACTGTGCAATGTTTCGCCTTTGAGAATTCAAGCTCAAAAATCACTTGCAATATAGTAGAATTCATTGAAAATACCTGAAAATTCTTCATACCTCTTTAGCTCAGTTGGTAAAACGTCCGCCAAGAGAGCGGTCCGCCAATTTTTAATTTTTCTGCCTTTAACTCGTTTCTTAGATTACTTCATCCATCTGCTCTTCAGTTATATAAAAAAGTTTCCATTATATGGAAAAGTTTCCATTCTGCCTTCAACATTCTTCTTGCCAGATTAATACTGATAATACGCAACTTTTTCTCGGCAATACTTTTGCTGAATTGAATTCCTGACAGAATTCAAATGATAAACGAAGATTTTAATACGTTCAAGGATCATGGTGTTGTTTTCAATAGTAAATTTGACTGGAATGATCATATCAACTTAATAGCATATAAAATCTTTCTTAAACTCAGAACTCTTTGGAGGTTTTCTTCGATCCTTTTTAAGGTGACTACGATTGACTTGATTAAGTCTAAGTCTCTAGTTTGAACGCACTTTTTCTATTGTGATGTTGTGTTTTCTTCTATGGGCGCCATTGAGTTTAATAAAATTAAGCTCATTTTCAATACCTGTACTATAGATTTGCCGTCAATAGAAAAAAATTTGACAGAATCTCGGATGAAAGAAAAATCTTGCTTGATTGCGGCTCCGCCGGATATCTGAATCTGCAATGTATTAAACTATTTAAGAGGATTCTTAATGGTGATCGTCCATAACATCTTTATAATAAAATCAGAAGAGGTAGGTCGGTTAAGTCGTCAGTTACCCAAGGCATACTAGACATCGTAGATATCTTTAATTTTTTGTGAGCAATGCTGTTCTGTGGAATAATCTCCCCGTGCCGATTACGGGAGTGAATAATGGTCGGATGAATGTGATAGGTTATGCAAGCAATATTTAGTATTAGTAATCTTAAATTGTTCTCCTGTTCTGCTTCTGCTTAATGTTATAACAAAATATTTAAAATATTTTCTGATTGCAATGCTATAAATTAATTAAAGTACTTACTGAATTAATCTCGTAGCATGTTACTTTTTCACATTTTATTTTGTTGTCTGGTCAGGATTTAATTTTTTCTCATAATTTTCCTCCATTTTCATTTCACCGCTGACCAATTCAATCAACTATACTGAGCCCCATACCCATACTAAATATATAAAAAGAACATAGAAAAAAAATTAAAATTTTACTTACTCGTTGGTTTTCGCACCAAATAATTTTTTTTTAAATATGGTATGCGTTTATCCGCAAGATTTTGATCCTTATTGTAATCCTTATTATTCATTTAATTTTTTTTTTTTTGCTTTTTCGTTTTTTCTTTTTGTTCGTTGTTGTTCAGTGCTAATGGAAAAGTCCGGTTTCCTTTCCATAAAATTCTCTCTGTAATATTTTTAAAATGTTTGTATGTATGTAAATCTAGCGTATATTTTATATGAACAGGAACAGGAATATCACATCATTAAGGGAATTTACATGAAATTTTAAAAAAACATGTTTAAATTTTTCTTGTTTATAATTGAAATCTTCTCAATAATTCTTAAATTGCAACATACAATGCCGTAAATCATTCATTCAGACAACTTGCTATAGAAATGTGGTTTATATAATTTTCAAATAACCAAACCATTACCAAATTAACAATGAATTTAATGTCAGTTTAACAAGTATACAATTTAACAGGAGCGATACACGATTTAAAGCACATCACTACCAAATTTATGAAGTACTTTTAATAGAAGATCTAATGAACCAGTGAACAAGTTCCAGTTCACTGTTTCTTTATATAAAAATATCAATCCAGAAAATAATAACATAATTCTTTCGTCAAATTCCACAATGATATAAAATAGATGCTTTGTCAGCCTCCGACTAGAATAACTTCTTCATATGTTTAACGAAACAGAAGGTTCAATCTCTGTGCAAATTTTTCAGAAATTCACTTATATCAATCGATCATACTTTTGCAGGATTCTAGTCAGATAATCCTTGCAGCAGTCGTTGGGCGCCAGGGTCTCCAAATACATAATAAAACGGTTAATATTTATACTGTTGAAATTGTTGATGGAAATAATTCTGAATAGGTAGATGATAGCAATAAAGATAATGGTAACGATAAAGTTTCTAACATTTCATTCACTCTATATCGTAAACGGAGTTTTAAGGCACCAATTTCAGTGTTTAAATTTAAAAATATCTCCTTACTTTGTACTATTAATTTAAAAATAGATGAAATAAGCATGAAATATATTTTGTTGTTTTTTGCATCTCCCCATGCCTATTTTTCAAAATTACTCCATTTTCCCTATTCCTCACCTCTGTTTCTCGGATACCTTTTAGAAATGGACTTTTATAAAAACATCTTTTTGTTATTAAATTTTGTTTTTTTCTTTCTTTTCTATTTTGCCTCGATTTCTCCTCTTAAGTTTTGCTATAAATTTAAATATCCTAATTTCTATTTTCGTAAATATTTTTCTAACGGTATTAATAAATATATGCATTAGGATGTGAAACGGACATTGAAATAAAATATAATTCTGGTTTTTGTACAGGGTGTAATGAAATTGTTTATGCTTGAGAATCTGAAAATTTCTAGCAGATTTTTAAATTCGAAGTTGAAATATCGAATTCGTAATAATTCAGAGTTGTGTGGAGTCGAAGTTTTGAAGTGATATCTGTATCACAATTATTGAGTCGAAGTTTTAGAGTAAAAGTTAAGGAGTAGAAATTGGAAAAATAAATTTTAAAGTCATTTGGTAAAAGCCGAGTTTGAAATCCCAAATCAGGCTGAATTTTGAAATTTTAAAAAATCCGGCCATAAATTTTGAAATTTTTTTATATGGTGTTCCCTATCTCTCCTATATATCACAACGAATTTTAAATTCTTGAGGCAGTTTTTGCCATAGAAACACCATGTACTGCATACACATTCTTTTAATAAATCATTGAACTTTTATCACCTTTAATTATATAAAATAATCACCCTATGTATATAAAATTCATAAAAAATAAATTTATATATCAATATATATATAACGCATATATTCATATATATAAATATATATACATAACGCATATATACATAAAAATATTTATTTTAATTTTTCTTTTTTTTTGGCCACCATTGAAATTTTTTGCAAATAAAAGCATCTATGTAAAATTTTTTTATATTTTTCTCTAAACCAAATACCCGTATCGTACTACGATTACCGAATACAGAAATGTAAATATGTACACATATACAAAACCAGTATATATATATATGTATTTAATTTAATATCCGTCGCTTTTAGCTTTTTAAAACAAACCACTAATAAATAACAAACAGAACCAAAACAACATCCTTAGAAACAAAAAGATATATGAAAAAAAAATTATTCAAGCATACGCAGGGGGAGGGGCAGGATGGAGTAATATTACAGCATTTTGAATACCTTACAATCTTACATAAAATCCATAATCTTTACAGTTTTTTTTTTTATTTTTCGATATTTTTAGTCATAATATGAAGGGTATAGTCTAATCCTAGAAATTTTTCCGTATAAACAAATAAGAAGAAACGGATTTACTTTGTCAAGGGACGGGTCTAAATTAATTTAGGAAATGGAATTTCGGGAATGAGTGAATAAAGATCAAATTCGCGTTTGCAATTCTAACAAAGATCTGCAATTGCAGTACGTTTTTGTAGTTTGCTGCAAAAAGTATTCAGATTTTTGTTGATAGAGCTGCAAAAGATCTTCTGTCAAGTTGACAGCATAGAATTTTTTTCTGCTGTGATAATCATAATCTCAATTCAATTAGTAGAGAATTAATTATTGAGAGAGTAGAGAGACATTATTAAGATTACGCCAGAGTTTTTTTTTTGGCAACGCTGCATTAATAGTTCTATATTGCAGTACAGTTTTAAGTAATAAAATCTCTTGCAGTCAGAACTGCAAACGCGAATTCGATCTATATTCATAATTATAATGCAAATAATTATACTATTTTTCATACTACTTGTATGATCCCGCCATCTCAAAGAAAGAAAGTGGGAAAACAATTGATTGTTTCGGGTTGGTACTCGTATAGATGTGCTACAATTTTTCGGTATTGTGCTCCTGTTTTGTGTAATAGAGTAAATTGTATTCGAACTCTTTGAAAATTAAAAAAAAAATCACTGCCACAATTGGAATGAGAATTGTTATATGTTGTTCTCTTTCTCATACATCCATAATATATGCTCTTCCATTTCTATTGAATAGAAAATTTTAGACCTTTAGTTTGTTTCATTTGTTTTTTCTTCTTTCAACTACAGTTCATTGTTCATACAAATGTGTTTGATGCTTATATGAATTTTTAATTTCTTAAATAAAATTTGCATACAAATCATTTTATTCGGATTTTTAAGGCAAACATAAATTTTCATCAGAATATAAAATCTATATAAAAATTCCTTACGGCAAAATTTGAATAGAAACAATAGGTAAAATTCATTCTGGAATTATAAAAGCAGGCAAAAATAAAATTTTTCTTTTAGTAAAATTTTAAGTTTTCATATAGGATTAATCAAATCTTTAAATATATCCATTTATTTTAACATGAAAGAATTCGCTTTTAATAATAGAACAGGCTCAATAATTTCAATAACTATATAAATAAATTGGGATTAGAGGCGAACCCTTTTGTGCGGTTATCTGCTTGACGAAGAAGTGATGCAGTGCGTTTTGTGTAATTGGCAATTCAGAGACATCTGATTGGCTTGTAGAGATATTTTAAAATTCTCGGAACTAGAATAAGTTGGGGTTTAGGAGTAAGTCAGATCTAAGGGTCGTGCTCTAGTTATTATAAAAAGTTTCCAAAAAAAATTATAATATAAAAATATTCTGTTATTTCATTTAAAAATTCTTATTAAAATTCTTAATTCTCTTTTATTCACAGTTTTATTCGAGAGGGAATAATAAGATGCATATTGGCAACGGATATGGCACGTCATAATGAAATCCTAACACAATTTAAAGATATCATTACAACTTTTGATTACTCAAATCGATCCCATATAAATTTGGTAATTGAAAGAATTTTTTTAAAAAATTCCTTAAAAAAAAGAGAAATTAAAAAAATTTTTCCAATTTGCAGTTATGCATGGTCCTTATAAAAGTTGCTGATATTTCAAATGAAGCTAGACCAATGGATGTTGCTGAACCATGGTTAGATCGTTTATTTAAAGAATTTTTTGCACAAAGTGCAGCAGAAAAATCTGAAGGATTACCGGTTACACCATTTATGGATCCAGATAAAATAAGTAAACCGGGTAGTCAAGTACGTTTTATTGGTCTGGTATTATTACCATTATTTGAAGCTTTAGGTGAATTATTACCAGAAATTATAGAATTAATAATTATTCCTGTTCGTATTGCATTGGACTACTACAAGTAAATGAATTTTAATAAAAGAATAAAAAAATTTTATTGAAATTATTTGAAATTTTTTTTTTAGATGCCTAAATGATGCTCAAAATAAGCAACGTAAATCTGTTGCAGAATCAAATACAGAAAATGGTTCGGAATCAAATGGATCATGTTCTCCACAAATACCACGTTCACAATCTGGAATTAGTGTAAAATCGCGTCGTAGTATACCATCTCAAAAATCAACATCTCGTACATCTGTCGATGAGCCAACATGTATTGCAGCTGAATTACATGATTTACCTGAAGGTAGTGAAAGTGGTGATTCTGAAACAGCAACTGAAGTTGATGTAAATATATATATTGATTAGATTATTTAATTAAATAATAAAAAGAAAAATATTTAAAATTGAATGCAGGTAGCCGAAAAGACATCAAAATTTAAAGTTGATACAGAAAGTGGAAATCGTTCTAAAGCATCACATTCAACATGTCATCGTAAATCGAATCGAGAGAAACGTCCATCAATGATAAGTGAAATGTGTAGTTCTGGTGGTAGAATGCGTAATTCATATGGAAATATTCATGGTTATCATACAAATCGTGGACATTTTGGTTCAAATCGTGCAGTCAGTTTAGATCAATACAGTTGTAATAATCGTAGATCATCGGATGGCTTACAACAAGTAATTTCTGATAGTTATGTATTTTATAATCGTCAAAATGAAGGCTTACAATCGCAACAGAATAGTAGCGGTTCAACATCAACACCAGCTAGTGATAAACCAAAGAATGAACAACATTGTGTTGTATTAGGTGAAGATGTTGTTAATATGAATTCATCACAAATGTATTGTGATCAATTAATGTTACGTCAAATGAATTTAGCTTGCCATTCAACAAATGCATCAATTGGTTCTATAACACAACATCATCAACAACAGCATTTACTTTTATTACAACAACAGCAACAATTACAAGAACATAATCAAAAATTAGAACATGGTAGTTGTGGTGGTGGTGGTGGTAGTGGTGGAGGCGGTGGAATTGCTGGTATCGGTAAAACAGGATCATTAATTGGTGTTAATAAATCTTCAAATATTGATAATACAAATCAACAATGTTCCTCTAGTTATAATCAAAAATCATGGAGAGCACGTTTTAAACAAATAACTGATATTTTTTCAATATTTGATAAAGGTAATAAAAGATATTCATCTAAGAGTAATTCTGATCCTGCACGTAACAATAATACAACAAATGGTGCTAAAGATGTCACAAAACAAGGTACATACACACTTTTCAATTTCATATTAATAATATTAATTAAAAATAATTTTTGTTTTTTAATTTTAGGTTTATGTTGTACTATTTCTAATAATTATTTCCCATCGAATGCCAAACAAAAACAATTAAAACATCAACAATCCCAATATATTATACAACAATCGGAAATAACAAATATTGGTAGAAATCGTGCATATAGTTTAGATGTACCATGTAGTACATATCGTCAACAACGTTATAGTAGTAGTAGTGGTGGTGAATCAAGAAAATCATCACGTAATGAAGATAATAGTAATCGTCAAGATGTATTCACTGAAGACAATAATAGTTACAATACAAGTAGTGGTGATGCACCACCAATTCGTATAAGTGGTGGTGATGGTTCTGATAATACAATACCAATAAGTACACAACCTTTGCCTAAAGTAATAACTCCAACATTTGAAGAAGATTTAATTGATTCAGCAATATATACATCATCTGAACAACAGCAAAATCAACAACAACAACAACAAAATATAATTGGTAGTAGTAATGGTGATTATAATTCAACTGGTTGTGGTCATGATAGCAGTGGTAATTATTCAAGTAATCAACCAAAAATTTGACATAGAAGTTCTGATACAAATACAAGTTCAAATGGTTATGTTCCACCACCAATAACCGATTATAATAATGATGGTAATAGCTGTAATGGTAGAAGTCTTAGTGCTAATGATTTAACAGATTATACAAATAATTTTTGGTCAAATTTAAGTGATCGTTTAAGTTCATTTGCTTGTAAATGCTGTAAACAGAATTTACCTGAACCAGAAAATGTATAAAAAACAATTGAAGAAAAAATAAAAAAATATTTATATTGAATATTTAAAAAATTGAATTTAAAATAAATTTTTAGAAAATAAAAAAATAATATTATAAAATAAAATTTATTTTTAAATAAAATAAAAAATTAATATAAAAACTATTTAGAATAAATTTAATTACTATGAATGTAAAAAAAAATATTATAAAAAAAAAAACTTGTATTGTCTTAAAAATTTAAAAATATTTCTAATTTATATTTTTTAAATTAGAATTTAATATATATATATATATATGTATATATATACGTATGATTGTCATGCTTTACAAGCTACAAGAAAATTATTATTAAAAAATTTTTCAAATGTGTTTTTTTTCCTTTCTTGCGTATTCTTTGCTCACAATTATTTGAAAATTTTCTTGTATTTTTTAATTTTTATTTGTTAAATATTTTAAAATTCTTTTTTTATATACAATTAAATAGTAAAAATAAAATTATATTTTAACATTTTTAATTTTTTCTTTTAACATTTGTTTTAAAATATTTAAAATTTACCATAGTTATTTTGAATTAATTCATTGTATTCTTCCTATTCTAGAAAGAAATTTATAAGTCTTCCTAATATAAATCCTAATACTTCGATTTTCACAATATTCGAAATTCAAATTATTCGAACTAATAGCACCTATTCACTGAGACCAGTTTAAATTTGAATGTAAAATTGTTTGATCCGAAAGCGTCTGAATTGAAAAGATAAATGAGAATCGAATCAATTATTTACAAAGTGGCGTAGCACGTTATCCTTGAACTTAACATGAAAAGACTTTCTTAAAATAAATTTATTCTCATTGAAATTCCAATATCTATTATAATTATTGCATTTAATTTATGTAGAATTAGGAGAAAAATTAAAAAAAGTAATTCTAACATTAATTTTTCTTTTATTTTTGTAGAAATTTGAAGAGAGAAGGGAAATGAACGAAAAAAATCGTGATAATGATTAATTTCAGAACGAAATGCAATAGAAAAATGATTTCACTTATTTTTTTTTTTCCATTTGCGGAATTAGAAAAAAACCTTTTTGGTTTCGACATAATAAATTGTTAAACAATAGCAATTTTACGAAGTTGAGACGTCGTCAAAAGGAACAAGTACATCTAAAATTATTTTTTGTAAGGAAATTCGTTTCTTAACAAAATCCATTTAAGTATGTTTTAGAATTCCACTTTCGTATATTAAAGTAAATAAAGAAATTTTCTTAACCGGTTGGGTAGATGTAATACCAGCTTCAATGTTAACCAAATTTTTAAACAAATGCATATGAATATTGAATATTAAACTTAGAAAATAAAGAAAAAAATAAACGTTTTTTACTATCTCTTCGAAATCCTGCCTGCATTTAGATAAAGCCAAAATGCTCATACTGGGCAATTTTTAAAAATCTAAATTCAATATCAAGGATACTGATTAAGAAAGAGATACAGGGACAATTAATAAAAACTAAATACCTACAATGAAGCTCTAATGGTTTTCATTCGACTATGGTTTAGAAAAACGGCATGACGCTTCAATTTATTTAAAATATCGGCAGTTCAGTTGTACATTATCAAATCCTACAAATAAACCAATAAAATAATTATTAGAAGCATATTGAGTGTAGTCTGCATATAAATTGCAATAAAATTCAAAAATTTCTTCCTAAAATATTTCACTAAAATTACTCCAAAAATAAAATAATTAAAAATGGTAAATGCTTAATAAAAATTTACTTATACGATCTTAATTGTATTTTATAATTTTTCATCTTTAGGAAATAGTAAAAATCTTTTTATGTAAATATTAAAAAAATCAACAAAAAATATATTTATAATAAATTAGACAATTTAAATGTAAATTTTAAATTTTTGAAAAACAAAAAAAAAATTTTAAGAAAAAAAAACCTAAAAAAAAAAAATTAAATGTATATTAGAAATTAGAAAAATTTTAGTAAAAATAATATCGTAAAAAAACAAATTAAACTAATTTTTAAAAATAAGAAAACTAAAATATTTGAAATCAATGTAAAAAATTTAAAAAAAAAAAAAATAAATTAACAAAATCTTTATAAATTATTATTAACTTTTCTTACATAATAATATTAGTATATATATATATGTATTATAATAATATAATTTAAAAAAATCCTCTCAAAAAAAAAAAAAAAAACTAAAATATTTAAAAAATGAAATTGATATTTTTTATCTTTACAATATTAAATAATATAATAATAATAATAATTATCATAATATTTTAATAATGAAAATTATTTGGAATAGAGACTGAAATATTTTAATATAATATAAAAAAAAAATCTTAAATATATGAATATTAAAGCAAAATTTTATATATATGTATATATATATATATATATATATTCATTCCTATATGACCAAACAATCAATTGCATTTCTCATACAAAAAAATTCATAAATTTATAATCTAAATAATTTTATATTAGTAAAGCTCCAATATACTGAGAGAAAAGAAAAATATAAAATTCTCGATCAATACTAAAACAAATTTCAATGAAATTTAAAGAAATTTAATTCGAACTAATTTGTATTTACGATAAATTTAGACTAAATTTACAAAATGTTTAAATTTCAAAAAAAAAAAATTTATGAAAATCTAAACTGGTGTTATTTGAAATTTATTTCAATTTTTAATATTGAAAAATACATACTTTTTGCTTCTAGTGTATAACCTTAACTTATATACAATTATAAAATTTCATTAATTTTATTAAAATTCAATATAAAAATAATATTTTTTATTTTTATTTTTTTCCTAATTAAATATTTTACTAATGAAATATTATGGAAATTGTTAATTAATTGGGTAGTTATTAACGAAAAATCGCCTATTTAACATTTTTAAAATTTTGTAAATAATTTAGAAAACAACAGAATTTGAAAAATAAAATTTACAAAATTATACAAGAATAATAAAATTTTCTTCCATTTTGTTAATATACACGGTTTTTCGCTAATAACACCCCTCAATAAATTTAATTTTGTACATATTTATTATCTATATAGATCAGAAAATATTGAAAAATAACTTAAATAAATGCTTGTTACAGAACACAAGAATTCCGAATAGAATTTCAATTTTGTAAAACTAATTTTCAATATTTAAAATTTTCATATAAAAATTTTTAAAATTTCAAAATTTTTCTTTTCAAATTATATAATTTTTATTATATTACTATGTATTTTTTTTTTACGATATAGTGAGTTTTTTTTTTGCTGAAAACCATATTATACGTTAGTAATTTAGACCCTTGATGTATAAGTATTAAACTATTTTCCATTTCTAGCCATTTAATATTGAAATTCTTGTAATTCAATTCACAAGACAAAAAAAAAAGAAACGCTTTACACAGCTTTACCTAAAATAAAAATATAATAAATAAAATAAATTTTAAATAAAAATATTAATTAAAATATAGAATATTTGCATGCATTTAAAAAAAATATTGTATAATAGAACAAAAATTAAGACTTAAACTACTTATATACATACATATCCTTTATAATTCTTCTTTCTTCATTTAATAGAAAATTTTTTCAATTTTGAATTGAAAGAAATGGCAATGATTTGAAGAATGTAACATATCCATCCTATGAGGCAATAATACTGTGCAACAATTCAAAATAAAATTAATTTGTTATTTAAAATAATTCTTCAAATTTTGGAAAAATATTCTAGATTCTTATATTTATTCTTTAAAATGCGACACTGTAAGATTTTCAAATATCAGTCATATTCAAAAACTATTGTGAATTTAATTAGATAATACTGAATAAATTAAATTAAATTAAAAATACTAAATAAATTATAATTTAATATTGAGTTGCTCTGGCTTCGAAATTGCGATCATTCATCTTATGAGCTGTATGAGTTATTGATTTAATTAACAACAACATAATTAAAATACATAATTTTACAAAAATTTAATTTTTAATAATTCACAAATATTATAGTCTCTTATATTTATTAAAATAAAAACTAAAATTATTATTATAATTATAATCGTAACTATATCGTAAATATAATTTACTATTATATTGTAATTATATAAAACTATATAAAATCAGAAACCTTCCAGTATTATTCTCAAATGATTGCAATATGTTTACCTTGTACTATCATGCAAAAAATTTTTGAATAAAAGTTGTGGTGTTCGTTTTAAATTATTTTTACTTTTAAAATTTTCAACTACAATCATTGTCTTAAATTGTTCAAAAATACTGAATAAATTTTAATTTAATATTGAGTTACTCTGACTTCGAAATTGCAATAATTGAGCTTATGAGCTGTATGAGTTGTTGAATTGTATAACAATACAGTTATTGTTGAATTTTTTAAGTCATTGCGATTATTTGTCCCTTATATGTTTAGAAAATCATTTGTATACCGTAAAAATTTACTTTGAATGTAAAATATTATTTCTTATGTATAATAAATAAAATTACAAAATATATTATTTATGCAAATATTTTTCTATTTATGCCCACAAATTAAATTTAAAAATTTATTTTTTATAAAAAAAAAAAAAAAACAAACTCTATTATACTAAAAAACTTTTATTCCTTCGAACTGAAAATTTCACTCATCTGTACTGAATTCATTGTTACAAAAATTTTAATATAATAAAAAATTAAAAAAAAAAAATTATTATATTTTTATAAAATCAAAATACAAAATGGAATATAATATAAATGTATATATATATATGTAGTTATATGTATAATTTCAAAAAAATATATTTTACCTATCTGGTTTCATCTTTGATATTTTTAAAATAAAGAAACTATAAATATACTTAGCACTTTTTTATAATATTAAAAATCATAATATACTTTATACATAAACATACAACCATACCATCTATATATTAAAATTTATATTATTATAAAATTTATTCTTAATATTCAACAAATGAAAATAAAAATTTTTATCAAAAAAAAAAACCAAACAAAAAATCCTTAAAATATCCTTAATACAATTACTATTTGCATTTACCTCTACCATCAGTTTATTTTTTTAT